TCCGGTTCAGGTCTACTCCTCAAAAATTGAATATTTTGTTGGAATATTAATTTATTAGGTTCATTAAATGTATTTTTAAACATTTCATGTGTCCAAAATAACTTTAAAAATCTATATCAAGTTAGTCTGTGGAAAATAATACAACAAAGTGAATATTTTATTTATGTATTTAAATTAATTGAAGAAATAATTATCTTTTGAAATTAGTCTACTGTTTCCTAGAATAAATAATGCTTTGAAATTATAATTAAATTGTCATATAAAAAAATTAATATTACTATTTTAGTACCCTTTAAAAAAAATGTTAATTTCATTCACAAGTAAATATGCTACTTAGTTCTTAAAGAGGTAAACTAAAAAAAGAAACAATAATACACTGGTTTGTACTGCATTATAGTTAATTTATTGTAATTTGTAAAAGTGTTCAATTAAATGTTAGCTTTGTTCTGTTGAATGTTTTGAAGGGTAAAATATTACCAATTAATTAGTTGAAACTGAATATGTGTTATATGTGATAAATAATATTGTATTGCCACTCATGAAAGGATAAAACACAAAGTATATTAAATTGTATGTAAATCTTGTGTATTACTGAGAAATTAATAGTTAACAAATGAATGAGTTATTTAAATACTGTAAATAGTTTGAAGTTGGAAATGTTATTAAAGTAGAATTATGTAGCACACATTAGTATTCAACTAACTGATGAATTTAAATGATGTATCCCATATCGAGTATAATATTTTTAATTGGAGATTCTGTTGAACAAACAATAATTGGATTACAGTAGGCCTTGATGTAAATATCAGTACAGTACTTAAAACAGAATATTTGTATTCAACATATTCAATTTAATCTATTATTTGCTTGTTTTACTTCCAACACAATTAATGTTTTATTTGTATAAAGTATAGTGTAGGGTAACTTAATGATGGATTAATTAAAATAATTGTTTATTTTATGGAGAACTTGCAAAAGGATTAAACAATTATGTAACAGCATTTATGTGTATATTTCGGTAATTGCTTAAGACTATTTATTGGGTTTATTGTACAGGGTTTTTGTGAGCCCTTCACACCATACTTGGAGGATCTACTGTGACAGCCTACAGGACTTGCCTACTGTGATTACCAGTATCTTCACACCTATCTGGACCTCATTGACCCCGTGACCTGTGTGCTATCTACTTGTGTGAGACAAATCGGTCTAGACCGGAATTCCCTTGATAGCTACCTTGTGCGGTGGACTTGGTGAGTGACACATTTACCTATTATTTATTGCCTGGACTTAACAAGGACTTATTGGAGGACAGCTCAAGACACTTGGACTATTCACGCCTGCCCGGATTAATCTTTTAGGTTAAATGGGGCCCCGGTCATTGAGTTTTCATGTATTTGTAATTTAGCTAGTAAGATTTTGGTTAGTGTTTGTTATTGTATTTATATGTCTTTGAAACTGTGCATTTAGGTGAGCTATTGAATGCTTTGAGCTTCAGAAGGGAGACTATCTGATCTAGAATTATATTCTGTTTCTTATCCAGCCATTTGAGCACACCTCAGAGGGAAAGATATTACATTGATTGCAATACTGTATTCACAAATCAATTGATTTATCTATTTATTTATTTGTATAGTTGCTAGTGATTGTCAATTGCTCTTGATTGCCTTAATTTCAAAGGATTAGATCCTTGGTTGCATGGGAATGTAAATCATAAATTATTGTTCTATTGACCTTGTGTATTATCATATTTGGTATAATAAATTCTCTAGCATGGCCATGTACACAAGCGTTGTTGTGTTCCTGTGTACTGTCTAGTTTAAAAATTTATTGTTGTATGTTGGTTTAATTATTGATTGGTTGATTACTTTTGACACTTAAAAGGATTTTGAACTTAGTAAACTACCCAAAAGTTCTTGGTTAGTAGTAAACTATATAGCCTGAGTTATCTAGTCATATCATCAACTGATAAGGGGTATGTGAGTTCTATGCTAAACTGGGTAACCATTTACTACTGCTGATTATAAGTGAACTTGCTGATAATAGTATTATTGTTGTTGTCATTTTGGAGTAATAATTGGTTTGAATTTGGTAAGCTATTAGCCGCCCAGCTGATTGTTTCTTTTTATTATCTCATCCAAAATATCATCCCATGAGTACAGGAGAACTTCCTTGTTGGACCCTGTTTAAATTCTACTCTACAACACGGTGGCGCCCATAATAAACACTAAGAACATTCAGTTTGGATTATTTAGTAAGGTGTAAGCTTTGAGTTGGACCACCCCTTCTCCCTGAGAAAGCTGAGGCAAATTTGGGAAAGGTTACGAAAGGTTACAAATGTACTAAAATTATTAACCGGCTATGAAATAAGGTAAATTGAATACGACTGTAATAAATAAGGTGCAACACCAATGATAACTAATTTGTAAATAGTGTTATGTTGGTATGTAAACATGATTCTTGCTGTTACCACTTAATGAAAAGAACCAGTACCAAAAACCAACGTTAATAGTAGTTAAGAACTATAGTACATCCGACCAATTTAATGTGTTAATCAAGTCCCGAGGTCAATGCTGTAATGGTCACACGCATGTATATTATTACTTCATCTTTTTTTGACCATCTGTAAAAAATTGCAATTTAAAAAGTAAAGTGGTATTTGCCGTGTATAAATAAATAAATAAATAACCTCGGGACTTGATTAACATCTCAATATCATTGATCAATATCATTCTTGGTTTTGGATTTTCTCACAAAAAGTTATCGGAAATCAAAGTTATTTTCCATTAGGCCTAATTACATTATTTGTAAACAACTTTTAATGTAAACATATCGGTGACAGTTTGAAAAAAAAAACATTATCCAAACAACTTTTTGTTATTTAATAGATGACGTATTCTCTGAACAATGTTTGGTACCTATGTAGTAGCCTAAACATGTTGGGTTTTTTAACGTTTTATTTTTATTTCCTAAGTAGGTAGGCCATGTAATCTAGGGAAAAGTAGGCCTACCGGTATCAAGGATCGTTGTCGAATAGGTTGTTATGAATAATTGGGTAGGCATACCCAACTACTATATCAACCCAACTAAGATACAGGCTATGGGCCTATTGGCTGTATGGTTCAGCGATTGCAGCACATAGCGGTGAGTAGAATGAAACAGAAAGTGATACATTAGAAAAGTGAGTTTAGCATCATCCGTAAAACTCTGTTACAATCACCCACTCCAGTTGTGATGTTTCACTTTACACTTTACACAACCACCATTGAAACGTCGTCAATGAGTGGAAACCTTAATAGTTTGATAAATGTAAGTTTCCCAGCCTTATACAACACTGATTCAAGGTCTTTTTCCCGGTTATCAAAAATCCAGAACAATTTCATACACAAAGAAGCATATCAATTTCATTTACGGTTACAATACACATTATTGAACTTGCAATAAGTAAGGATGTAAGGATGTGATGATCCTTTATGTAAGGAAAATCGTTTTTAATCTCACTTGGTTTGGTTTGGTGCTTTCAAAACGTGATCGGAAATGTTTGCGGTATTTGTAAACAACATTTAAGTTAAACATATCAGTGACAGCTAGAAAAAAATAACCTTGATCCGAACATCTGTTTGTTATTTCATAGATAGATGATTATGTGATAGACGTTGGGAGAAAACATGACAAAAATCACATGAAATTGAGTTTTTAAACGTCCGTCATTTTATTTACAAAGTGGTGAGGCCATATTTTAAAGGCTAAAGACACTCTCCCCAATCCAGTGAATACATTAAAATGATTTGGATCTTGATAGGTACTCTCGTTTTTCAGGAGAAGGCCGCGTAAAATGCCTCTTGGGCCGTGACAGATGGACAGACAGACAGAAATAGAGATGAGACTTGTTTCGGCTTCTTTAATGTATAAAACATAAAAATAACCTAAAAATTTATAATTTTGAGCAATGTACCTAGACAAAACTCTAATTATATTTATATAGATGAGTTTGACCGGATGGTGTTTTTGTTTTGGCCTCTGAGTAAAGAAAAAAAAAAAAAAAAAAAACGAAAAAGAAAATTGGTCCCGGGCCCAGGTCTTACCATGAGACCATCATTACAAGTGTAAATTTGCTAAAAAACCATTAATGCCTATGCACCATTAACTTTATATATTGTAAATAGAAATACTATTTTTATATGAAATACATGTAGGCCTACTATTGCCTTTGGGGAGCGAGCTGGCGTAGTGGTTAGAGCGCGGGACTTCAGTCCCTGAGGTCCCGGGTTCGATCCCCGCCAAGTCACCAATGGATTCAATCTAAGTGATAATGCCGCAACCCCTAGGTCTAGCCTGAAGTAACTGGCTGGGTAGCTGAGTGGTTATAGTGCTCGCCTACTAATCAAAAGGTCGCCGTTTCGATCCTGAGAAAAGTCAGTAGTTTTTTGATGGTTCAAAACTGGACCCAGCTGTTCCTGATCATTGGGCTTTAAATAAATGATCCTGGCTAAAGTAACAGCTGATTTTAGTCAGTAACAAAGCTACACAGATCATCTCACACCATTCTACACTCATCCTTCACTCATATTTGGGTTAAAATACGCACCTAAGTGGCGTCCCCATCTTAATGATTGATAATTGATAATTGAATCTGAAAAACAATCCCAGGCTCGTGCCTAGCGTCCTAGGAAAAAAAATTGTCTTTGGATACTGCAAGTAGACGTCTCGTTGACATAAACCAGTTGTACCACTGACTTCGGATACTGTGAGTAAACATCCCATTTACGTGAACCAGATGTTCCATTGACTTTGGATACTGCAAGTAGACATTCCATTAATGTGAATCAGACCATTGACTTGGAAAGTCAAACTCAATAGTTAGACAAAGACAGCTAGACGTGCGCCCTGTCAGCTGTCGACTGTTGAACTACCAGGTATCAGTGAGGTTTTATTGACATTATTTAAGTTTTTTGTTACTTTTATTTATATTATTTGAAGGGCAAATTTATAGCTGCTTACAGATTAAACTGCTGTGTGAACCAAGAGAAGGGAAGAAACTACTCGTACTGGATATTGATTACACGTTGTTCGATCATCGATCAGTCGCTGAGTCTGGCTATGAGCTCATGAGACCTTATCTGCATGAGTTTCTCACTTCTGCTTATCAAGTGAGTGTTTTTAAAGGAATAATGATAATATAAATGAACTTCTTTACGAAAAGTATTACCTCACATTTACTGAAGAAGTAAAATTACACCAGTACCAAGTTAAACATTAATTTTAAAGTTTTCTTTTGTCCAGGATCCTTTATAACATCCACAAAATGAAATAATACAGAGTAATATTGGGAAAACTAAGAGGACTTTGTATTAACTTGCTTATTATAATCAAAATTTGTGAGAAATATCAATCTAAACATAGTCTATAATAATGGTACAATACCTCGTCAAGTAATCCAAATGTTTATTGAGGTTAACAACCTACATGTTTTGCCATAAATACGGCATCGTCAGGGTTACAAAAACGAAGACATAGATGTCACACGCACACAATAAATACACGTATATTTGTATATTAGCTAGTACAGCAATTTTTTTTTTCTCTAGCCCAGGAACCAGGGGGGGGCAAATACCCCCCTGACCCCCCCCTGCCCCCCCCCCCTAAATGACGCCCCTGTACACAAATGCACCCACATACAATATCGCTAAACGACTAGAAAGAATCCTAAAGGATAATATAGTGCTAGACAATAACCACAGCCTAAGGAATTCCTTTGATTTCATTGACAAAATTAAAGATTGGCACATACAAAACCACCATTTGCTTGCCTCATTCGACATAGTGAATTTATACACGAATGTGCCCATAGAAAAAACCATAGATATAATACAAACAAACAAATCAGCTATGTTACTAGAGGAAATAAAAGAGATTATTGATCTGTTAAGAGAGATTTTGAGACAAAACTATTTTGCATTTAATGGGAAATATTATTCTCAAACTGATGGTCTGGCAATGGGCTCCCCATTCTCTGGAATTTTATCTAATATAATATACTTAAATTACATTGAAAATGAGTACATTTTATCCGACAAGAACAAACATCATTCTAAAATATTATTATACAATAGATTGATGATATACCATTGTCTTGTTTGATGGCAGTAAATGGCAGTTGGATGTATTTTTATCTAAACAAAATAGCCCCAAGACTAAAGTTCACCTTAGAAACAGAAGAAAACATCGCAATACATTTCCTAGATTTAACCATAACTAAAATTAACAATAAATTTTATTATAAAATCTACAGGAAATCCACTTTTTCAGTTCAGACCATTCACGCGACCTCCTATCATCCACATTCTCAAAAAAATAGCAGCATACTGCTCAATGGTACACAGTATTCTAACGGTCCCTTTAAGTCCCACAAATTCACAAATCATCTACAAAATCATAATGCCAAGATTGTCCAAGCCAATATGTTAGGCAAACAGGTCGTGGGTTCGCTACTCGCAACAACGAACACAGGCCCAAACCACGTTTAATCAAACAGAATTCAGCGTTTGCCCAGCATTTAATCGACCTAAACCATAACATGAGTGAGATTGCTGATGGCCTTGAGGTGCTACATAAATGCAGAAAAGGTAGTAAACTAAACACGTTAGGGGAATTTGAAATTTACAAATTATACCACGACAACCCCGCCAGTGGACATAGCCTCAACGAAAAAGGATCTAAGGACCAGTGGTTGTCCAATAAACTACTTGAAAATTATGCCATAAGTTTCCTGAATCATTAGAACGGCAAACGGTTCCAGCATGTCTTGTTGGACTACCCCAGTGATCATTACCTTAATAAATAACTATGGTCTATTTGGCATAGACATTTTTATTCTGTGCATTTTGTCTTTATTATTGCTTCTATTCATAGCACAGAAAAACATGATGAATTTTTCTGTGAGATGAGAATGTCTAGTTTTATCCTCTGAAAATATTATGACCCTAGAGTCAAGAATTTATTGTTTGAAAACCAAACCACACTTCCTGCTTGGACACGGATTACACGAGCTACTGGGCTGACTAGGCTGTAACTAAGTAAGCAGGACTAGGTAGCGGAGCACAGGATCATTCGGAGCCGTTCACTCGAGCGTACGACGACAGCGATCGAGCCGCGATCGAGCTTGGTGTCGCAAACCATCTTCAGGCTCCGCTTCCTGGCCAAGTGTCGCGACTAATCGCGGCTAGCTAGTCAATAGCTCTAACGATGTAGCAGTACACGTAGCCATATCGGAGTGTTCACACGAGCGGTCTGTCTTCGCGCTGCAGCTCGCATACTTGCCTTTGTTTTCATTGTATGCCAGTGATGGATCCGAGTGGTTTTGATATAGATATTTTCATCGAATTGGCGAAGCAACGGCCGTGTCTTTGGAACACTTGAGTTTCGGAATATCATGATGAAATTCATAGTTAACTGATAGAAAATAAAGTTAGTTTTTGTTGAAGTTAGCTGTTTGTTGGGCAGTTGTTTTAAAGGGTTTCGTATGTAATGGAATAATGGCACATCATGGTAACTAACTATAATAAAAGTAATGTTTGCGCACAATGATTTAAAAGACGGCTCCTACCATTTCTTCCAAATTTTTTGAAATAGTTTTAGGATAAAAACAATATCCATGTGAGGCTCTGTTCTGGGAAAATTAATTTTTCATTAAAAACTTAAAATCAAATTTTAATATCTTTAACATTAGTCTTGTGGACTGTCAAGTAGCTATGACAGTGATACAAAAATGTAAACTAATGAATTGTAACATTAGGCTTGTAACAAATCATCTACAGTACAGTAGTAAATTACAAAATACAGTACAAAGGAAAAGGGAATTTCTATGAATGCTATTGAACATTGCTTATGTAATACATTTGGATTGTATGATGAATTACTAACCATAGGGATAATTACGACTGTTCAAAAACATTAAGTGATTTGCCACAAAACATTACACACTGATAATGAACTAAAAGTCTAAAGGAAAGGCCAAGGACAATTTGTAGTTTTCGACGATGCGCCACACGAATTGATACTTTATTACACCATCCCGTAATTATAGTTGCCACGTTCCGCGATCCCAGTGACTAACGCAATAATGGTCAACAGATAACAGATGTTTTGTATCACGTGTTAATATTGAAGCTTATTGTAGACATTTTATAAATTACTCGTCAACAAGGAAAAAAGTTTGTTAGGTAAGTTAAGAATGAGTGTATGTCTACCAAAAATGAATTAACTTTACAACTTAATTAATCGTAGTAAAACTGAAAATATTTGTAGGCTTATAAGTTATATTTTTTTTACCTCTTGAACAAATCAAACACCTCGAGCAATGCTCGGTCCCCTGGTACTTTTGTTTTAATCAAACATTGTCACATTTTACATTTCTTCAACAGAAACAAATGACTTAAACTTGTCACTGTCAGATAATGAACATCAACTGAGGACCCCTCGGTGCTTGGGGTGTTGTTATTGGTTGTCACTGCCCTTCCACGGGCCCACTGCATACCATATAGTACAATAACATAGTATAAAAATATTCGTGAAATTCAAAACATATTCTGTAAGGCCTAAACGTGAGGTATACGTAATAACCTAAAACATATTCAAAGAACACTGTGACAACCAGCCCCAATACAATATTTTATTAAAATAACTGTTTTAACACAAAAATATGTAAAAAATCTTAACAGCCTATATTGTTTAAAAACATTGTCAGCAAAGGGTCGTGGCTTTCAAACTTGTCTTAGCTTCAAAACATGTGTGACTTTCAATCCGACTCTTAATTCTTATTATCTATTCAACCTTGATACTGTCATAGAAAGCTTTAAACTCTTCTGGCATATATCGGGACATATCATCTAATTTATTATAGTACAATGACATAGTATAAAACTATTAATAAATCCAAAACATATTCTGTAAGGCCTAAACGTGAGGTATACGTAATAACCTAAAATATTTTCAAAGAACACTTTGACAACCAGTTCCAATACAATATTTTATTAAAATATTGTTTTAGCACAAAAATATGTAAGGCCTACATTGTTTAAAAACATTGTCAGTAAAGGGTCGTGGTTTTCAATCTTGTCTTAGCTTCAAAACACATGTGACTTTCAATCCGACTCTTAATTCATATTAGTCTATTCAACCTTGATACTGTCATAGAAAGCTTTAAACTATTCTGGCATATATTGGGAAATATCATCTAAATCCTTCTTCTTTGCAGGCTTTATTCCTAAGGAACTGGTATACAAGTTAGTAAACGCTGCTACCTTTACAGGGGGGTAGATTCTTTTGGTGTTTTTCATTTTCTTTGCCAAACAGTGTGACGTCCATGGTTGCAAGACATTATGTGATGGTCTTGCACGTAGTGTAATTGGGTCGTCTTTGGTGATCTGGTACCATACGTGGTCTGTTATGTTAAACTTAGTTGTACACAATGAATTCAAGACTATATCCATATTTTTGAAGTCCTCGCCGTCCATAACATCTACTTCAAATGGTCGGGAATAATCCTTGGCGTTTGCAATGATTTCGACAAAATGAAAGGGGATGTACACTTTTTCCCCTTTTTTGGCTTTTTCGATCATTGCAAAGTCTCGGTCACAAGGAAGGAAACTGTAGCCTGTGGACAAAAACTTTTGTTCCACAGTCGAAAAATATTCATTTACAAGGAGATGTTGTAGCAAAGCAATCATGCGCCAGTTATTATTCTGGCCAACACATCTATCGGACCAAATAACCAAGTTGCGTATTTCACCTTCCTTGAGTTTAGAAAAATGTAGAGTTATGTATTTTAAAACACATAAAGCAACTTCGGCTGAACCTCTTTTCCCAACAGTCTCATCCCAAAAACACATCATGGCCTTATTCGTACCTGCATTGTGTATGGCTAAATTGTAACATGAAAGTTGTCTTTGATGAAATACATTGTTGTGCGTAAGGTTTGGACAAAAAAGAACCTGTTGAAGATCAACACACAGCACAATTGTGTTTGGGTTAGCTTTAGCAAATGTAGTGTCTTCTGCCAATGACTAATAGGCAAGATCTGCCTTTGAGTGGTGAACTTGACTTTCTCTTTCGACTTTTTTTCTTTCGTTTTCATCGTTAGCTGCTGTTAATTTGATATAGAGCCGATCGCAATAGCCGCAAGTATCAGACCTTGGCACGCCAAACCTTAAATTAAAATCGGAATTAAAAACATCTCTATACATATGAAGAGTTAATTGCGTCTCGGAATGATTGTTAACAAAGAGCTTCCACATTCTTCTTATGTTAAGGTTAGGGTTTAAACAATTTCTTTTACACTGGGAGCGAGAGTAATGGTTTTCCTGCAATGGAAAAGAAGAAATGTGTTGCCTTATTAGGTCCTTAGTTTCATCCGTTACTTTATGAGGATGGTTTCCATGTAAACCTCGTCCATCAGACAAAGTTCTGTCAAATTTTATCTTGTCCACAAGTATCTGGACACGGTGTGGCGTGACATTAAAAATTGTACATAAGGTATTTCTGCATACACGAACGTTGTTGTCTTTCCTTGGAATGAAGTACTGGACGGTACAATGTCTTTTGGAAATATCTTAACTTACCCTTCGCTGATTAATTCCTCCCACCTTTATACAAGCCTTGGCTAAGAACGTAGATTGGCCGTTGTAGTCCAGCTTGTAGAATTCACCAAACTGCTTCCTCTTCTCATCATAGCTTAGTTTACCACATTCAAACTGGCAGGAACATACTCTTTCCTAAAAAAAATAAATACATGATTAAAATATAAACTAGCTGTATGAATATAACAATTTAGGTACACTAGTATTCTGAACAAAAATATAGGCTATAGACTATGCATCGCAAAACAGTTTGCCTAACGAATTTTGAAGATATTATAACAGAAATGGATTGTTATAATTAAAATTTTCAAAATTAATAAAATGTAAAGGTTGTTCATTAAAATTTTCGGTCACATATAAATTAATAAAATTCATATCTTACATGCTAAATTACATAATTTACATTATTAAATTACATAACAGCGGTTTATTTTTACAACAGGTGGCGCTTAAAACGTTATTCAACGTACCTCTCCTGGTGGCAGTTTTCCTGGAATGGGTTTATTCTTTTTCGTTGTATACGGCAATCCAGCGTTCCTTGATTCCTTCCGTATCTTGTTTTTCCATCTGCACACATTAAGTTTACGTTTTTTCCCATTATTCAGCCGTTTCTGGTCACCGGGTGACAGCGACACGCTAGGCGGGGCATCCATCGGCGGGCGGTTAGAACGTTGTCTGCACGCGCCCTGGCAAGACACAAAAATCCCGCCAATTCCGAGAGGCAAAATCAGAGCTACCAACTTAAAAATCTTCAATGCTAAATATACCTACGTTTAGGAAATGTCGTTTAGAACCTTGTACACAGAATATCTTCATTTCAGAAATTTTGTCGCTTGCAACGTTATTCAGCGGGCCCGTTCAATTCCAATTAAATATTTGATAATAAATTCTTACTACATCACATTTTGGTGCTAAAAACTATTATTGAATTCATCGTGGTACGTTTTAAGACATAAATCATGCATATATATTTAACTGCTATAACAGAATAAAATTTAACTGGCAAACTTAAATAAATAAATAAATAAATAAATCTTTATTGTCACATAACGTTTACAAAATATAGCAATGCTATAAAACAGGTGACATTGTCAATACAGTATACAAATACCTTAAAACTAAGGAGTTATAAAAGAATAAAATAAACTAACGCTATGAAAATAGAAATAATTGTTGTAGACAAAATAGATAAACTTAAACATTGCATTTAAAATACCAAATAATTACACATCTTGATCACATAAAAACTCATCTATACTATAATATGTTTTCCTTAAAAGAAAATTAGTAAGGCTGCTCTTGAAATGCTTAGACTGTATTCTGTTTTTGAATACAGTCTACTTATAATGGTAAATTACCATGTACAGTATCATGATAAGTACGGTATAGAGTAAAATATGATAGGTTTGATTACGCAAATTTTCATTTAGGTTATTATTACCGGCGTTTTAATTTTATTAGATAGCAATTGATAAATATCTACTCAACATCTTTTTTATCAATGAAATTCACAAACCACTAAAATATAACCCTGCATAAATATCTCAAATTCTCCAGTAAAGCAGTTATACAATGATCAGTCGCGCTTCGCTTCTCTACGGCACACGAATCTGAGGTTCCGAGGCGAGCGGATGTGCAGTTCCGGCAAGTCACGTGGGCGCGGGGAGCAGGGCTCAGCTGTCTGTACTTTGCGCCCTAACAGCAGACAGCACTATGGTTTTACTGCCCGCCACATCTACTGGTCAGTGACGTCAGCGCAATGATCGCCCCTTCCCGCCAGAGTGTGCTGATTGCTTATTCACAATCAATGCATGGAGTATTCTGTCTGTAGTGTTTATATAGTCAATGGTCTGACTCATGTTTGAAAGTAAGGTAATCAAATCACTCGGCATAAATAAAACTGCCTTTTACTGTATTAATTAGCAAATGTTCCTCAGTGCTTTACAGGATAACCGTATAATTATCTTGAAACTAAACTGTAGTATTGGTCTGGAAAGTATATGATAACAAGTGAATTATGTTTCTGCTAATTGAATTTTATTTCAATAGCAAACTCCACTTGTTTTGTTCAGAGAGACGTGATTCAAACCCTTAACCTACAGCACTGGCTCCCAGTCAGACAACATTTTCATTAATTTTATAACTATATTTGATTTCAAAGCATTTCCGGATAACTTAGGTCCTGTTCTTTGAGTTAGGCATGTGCATACAGTTGAAAATTAAAAGTTGGATTGATCATGATTAATCTGACATGACTATTAAAATGGATAAAATGATTTAAAAAAAAAATGTCTCGATAAAAATAAATATTGTGTATTCTAATTCAAATCAGTTAGAAAACACATTGACAATGAGTTTGTTACTACTCTTACAACTAAATTAATGTTTTTTTTCTAACCATATTTTATTTTTCAGGATTATGATATAGCTATTTGGTCAGCCACAAGTATGAAATGGATTGAGAAAAAGATGGATCTCCTGGGAGTTTCAAATAATAGTTCATATAAAATTATCTTCTACTTGGATTACCTTGCCATGATATCAGTTCACACACCAAAATATGGAGTTGTTCAGGTTAGTTGATTAAGGTATTACTATTATACCAAGTTTATTTTCAAACTCAATATACTTGATATTGTCCTATATTAAAAAAACACTCCTATATTAAAACAAAACACATAACACAAAAATAAGACAACTTTATATTTTGTCCCTGTTAGGTTTAGAGACTTCATCAGAAGGGATAAGAAAGAAGACTGACTGTTAAAGTATAATTTAAAAGGTCCACAACAGTACTGCCAGTTGAAATACAAATTCCTGTTGCTATGTCCATTTATATATACATACACTAATAAATACACAAAGTGGTTGATTAAAAATGTAGTGAAAAAAATATGAAGCTAGCTGAGGAAAGGGGTGGGTGGATTATCTTATGTTAAGGCGGGTTACACACCAGTATCGCAGACGTAATTTGCCAATATTTATGGTTGTGGGCATGATGTCTGCGACATAATAAAATACAAACCATGGAAAAGGCACGTGCTGGCGACATGAAAGTGAAGGAATCACAAAATTCATCAGTTTCAATAATGTCATCATCAGAAGAAGATGATGTGTTGTTGCTGTTGTTCTTTCTACAAAAACATTAAAGATTACTTCGTGGTAATTTTTCAAAGTATATAGAGCATTGCGGAGTTAACTGGCTAAGAAGTAAACCAACTTGGTGTATTGAATACTGGCTTGAAAATATAGTGCGATCAACTACATTAAAGTAAACAAAATGGGAAATTCATTACATACATTTTGTAGACAATCTAATTTCCTACATAGAAAATTTCCCATAAAAAATCTGTAGAAAAAATTTTACCTAGGGCGCGTTTGAAATTTTAAAAAAAATTAGAGATGGGCCGATACCAAAAATTGTCGATACCGATACCGATACCACCAAAGTACTCTTGATACCTATCGATACCGATAACTTCCGATACCTATCTTTTTTGCACAGTTTCTTCCACTAATAATATTATAAACTGTTATACCATAAAAAAACACAATATGTATGTGTATCAAACTTATATTTTGGTGTTAAAGGTTTATTATTAATTGCAAAAAACAATTGCAAAAATATGGAACTAAGTGTTTATTTTAAAATATGCCTACTGTAAATGTTTGAATTTGACTAAAGCATGAGATCTAATAAAGTTTCCTCTAATTTATAAATAGGCTTATATAAGTATTTATCTGTCATTTGTCAGTTTTTGTATTTTATTTGAAATTGCATCAATTGTCTTAGTTAACTCATTAAGCTATAAATAAAAAAAAAAAAATTACGTACCGGTACATCTTAGCCTACAAATACTCTGTAAGTTTTTTCCCTAAGAGAGTAAAAACAAACTTCCTATATAATGACAGTTTCTCACTCAGTTGTATGAAAAACAGTTATATATCTTACACATTCATAAATGAGGATATTTTTGAAATACAGAATAACTAATCAACAACCTTTATATTCTTAACACTTTTATTCCTTAGCTTTTCTTCCTTGAAAATGTCAACGCAGTTTTTCACTTATTTTTAGTAAAGATTATCACTTATAATTTCTCGAAAGAAATCTACGTGTGAGCTATGAAGAGCAGACAAGAGACATGCGTCACTGCCACAAAAACTATTCTCTACTGTGAATGAATGAACTGACACTGAGTGTTTATTAGTGTGAAGCCCCGCCCACCGTCTAACGGGACATGGGGTAGGAAAAAAGAAAGTTTGCTCTAAAGCCTGGTTCACATGCCCTCCCTCACCCTCGGCCACAGTCGCTTGCAGATTTCCATTACACAAAAGTTTCTGAGTGTTAATTTTAAAACACTGTAAATGTTTGAATTTGACTATGATGAGATATAATAAAGTTTCCTCTAATTTATAAATAGGCTTAAAAGTACTAATCTAAGTCATTTGACAGTTTTTGTATTTATTTTTAAAAGCAATTGCGGTTATACTTTAAAAAAAAATTACATAGGTACATCGTGGCCTATAAATATTTTTGTAAGGAGAGTCTTTTCTCTAGTGAGTAAAAACGATCGTGGTCAAGGAATGACTGTGCTAAAACAGCACATTGTTAATTTTTACAAAAGTATTTTGATTGAAACCTGGTATTTTTTAAGACATTGTAGAATAAGTCGACGTCTGTGGATAAAAGTATGGCAATAGATAGGTTTTACTTTTAGCCTACAATAAAGATTATGTTTTGGGACTAGAACCTCCAAAAGAGTGCTTTTATGAAACATGCCATAGTTTTATTTAGTAACAAAATTGTTTGACTATGTTCCCGATGATACCAAGAATGAAGAGGATAGGTTCGGCAGAGTGGATTCACTGTGCCACTGTGTGTTTCACTGTGTGGGCACATAAAACAATGTCTAAGCAATCGTCATTTGCTCCATTGAAACACGAAAATCGATTGGCTGACATGGTAGTGCATTGTCGCCTCCTGACCAATAAGAACTGTTGTTACATACTATTGTCAACATTCACCATTCGTTATAACATTACAAAATCGACATGGACTAAGGCTTATGATATTTTTCAATAAATACATTATGTCATAGTAGCACTTAAAACTTCACTTAACTCTTTAATCAGGTAGATAGTACAGATAAAAATGGACCTACTTTTTGGCGTAATTTAAAGCAAGCCAAACCATACGACAATGACGATGTTAAAGTTTAATGGTTGAATATAATTTTTCTAATGATGCGTATAATGCAGGGATGAAACTGAACATTTCGACGTGTTTAGGTTATTTATTTTGTACTAAAAATAAAAATAATACATCTAAATGTCTGACTTATTGATACAGACATTGTTTAGTATAATTAATTTCGTGTGGCAGGACATTTGCGCGCCGGTTGTCTCATGAGTTGAGTCTGAAGGGATTAAATAAAACTCACACATTTTCCTTTCTTGTTATTTACTTGTCAAATATCAACGAAATCGGCACTCTACTACTCGACTCGAGTTGCGAGCATCTTTAACTAAGTAGGCAAACAGCTAGGATTCGTAGCATTCAGTGGTTCATCAGTGTCAGTTTTGGTATCGAACCCAAAACAGGCAAGTATCGAGTATCGACGATACCTAGATTCAAGTATCGGTATCGGCCCACCTAAAAAAAAATCAAACTTTTTTATTTTTTGTACTTTACCGAAAACATTTTTTTCTTCCTTATCCTGAATAACATAATATTTTTGCAAAATTTATTACTCCATTATTATTTGTTAATATATATATTTCAGTATTTTCTCCTGTGAAATAACTTGTCTAGGCAGTATTTGTGTGTGTGTGTGTTATAATATAATGTTCGAGTAAAATTTGTGATTCATTGAAACCAATGGGAAATGGTCATGGAAATTATTGACAAATTTTCTGTGGACACCCTGTACTTGTAAGGAGACGTAGGTATTGGCTAACTCAGGAACTCGCTAACTCGGTCGTGTGTCGGAACTGGCTAACTCTGGAACTGGTTAACCGTCTCAGTCAGGAATTGGCTAACTCCGGAACCCGCTAACTCGATTTTGTCTCGCGGCGGAATTCGCTAACTCTGGAAGTCGCTAACCCGGCCGCGCCCACTGCACGGAGCGTTGCCAACCTTGTAAGACAAAATAATCGTACACTGTAGTTCAAAATGTCAGTGTCAATAAAGATACAGTAAATGTTATTGTTTTTTGTTATCAATTCCACTTTTAACAGATAACTAGCCCAAAGTAATTCAAAGACAATTAAAAAATCATGAAAAAGTGTTTTTTTTTTGTTAAACTGTACAATGGCCAGTTAAATGTTTATGATTTTGATCTTAAATATAAATGCCATCAGTATAAAAGAAAATAATAGAATATGAAAAATATTGAAATTTCAGTTTAATTGGTACTAAATAATTAAACCTCTACGAAACTAAGCTAATACACGCAAGTTCTTAAACACGGAAAACAGATTTATCTTACATGTTGTAAAACCGTTTTTAGATTGTACACCTAAGCACCACTACAATGTAATTCTTTAATGACGTTTAACGTGTAAATTTTATTATGATTTATGATTCAAGGTTACAAGCCGAGTATATAAAATACGAACTCAATAATTTTGTTTGCAGAAATTTACAAAATGGTATTTATTCGAATAAAAGAAACAAATGGCTGCCCATGCATTCCCGACGACGCGGAACACACTTTTTTCCGCTGTCCACAATGGGATATGCTTCGCCAGGAGGCCATTCAACATCTTGGGGTGCTGTCGATTGAATCGATCTGTGAGACCTTGCTGAAGGGTGAGGACAACTGGGACTGCTGGTCGCACTTTGTCCGGAATGTCCTTCAAGCTAAAAAGAACGATCTAGATCGGAACATAGTCTAGATTTGATAAGAAATAAACGGCTAGACACGGCGTAAGCCCCTCGGGCGTAGGCAAACTCGGCCTAGTTCTGATGAAGTGCGACAAGTGTTCCCAGGCTAGTGTCCGAAGAGTAGAGGAGGTTTTTAGTGGGTAGTCTCTGGGCCTTAAGCCCGTTGGAGTCCCACACTACAGGCTAGCAACCTGTGTGCATAAATGCATTTTCCCACCTCTCCCTAAAAAAAAAAAAAAAAAAAAAAACTCCTAATTAATCGTAGGATACGACATTATGGTACCGATACGATATAGGTACTACACTTTCGGCAACACTGGCCAAAAATATTCGTGCTTGGCTCCCATTGGACGGCTCGCGAGGCTTCTGATTGGGAGTTAGCGAGTTCCGCCGAGGGACCGAGTTAGCGACTTCCGTGCGAGGACGGAATTCGCTAACCCGGCTCTAGAGTGGGTTAGCGGGTTCCGGAGTTAGCCAATTCCGAAACCGAACAAGTTAGCGAGTTCCTCTCATCGACCAAATTTGAAGATAGGGCGTTTAACATGGGGTTAGCGAGTTCCAGAGTTAGCCAATTCCGCGGACCCCTTGTAAGGTTGAATTTTTACGAATTTTCAAAAAAAGGTCTGCAAAATCGCCAAAATGGGTTGGCCATTTCCCACTTCTAACATTGGCCACTCATAGGGTT